GCTAAAGAGCCCTCCCCACAACAAAAAATTATCCAGCCCAAAATGTTAATAGTGCCAAGGTAAAGAAATCCTACACGAAATACACTATTTTGTATTTTTACAATTTTCTGAAACAATAGAATAGTAATAACATGCTGATCTAAAATATAAATGTCTATAGTTCCATTAAATTTATAAACATTGGTGGAATGAATGAATTAAATTCTAGATTATAGAGGAATTAAACTGCATTTTTCAATGACTCTTTACAATTAACATTCACTAAGAGAATAAAATATGTTAAATAATCATCAATAATAGAGTTAGGAAATAGATTCTACTTATTTACTCAAAACATTAAATACTATATTTAAAATATTGTATTTTAATACAATAAAATCATAGAGTATATTTTTAGTGAGTTTAGTAATTTAAGGAAAAAAGGTAGCATCAGTTCATGGTCCATAAGATTCATAGAATTATTTCCAATTTTAGAATTATAAATAGTAGAGCTAGAGAATCATCTAGGTCATCCTCTTCATTGTTCATCACTTAAGAAAACTATATCAAGAAGGGGTAAGTGATTTGCCCAAGGTCTCTTGGCCAGTTAAGACCTTGCTGGAGCCAGAATGCAGCTCTCCTGGCAGTGTGGTGCTTTCTTAATTCTAAGGTGTTTTCTAATGTAACTGAAGGGTTAGATTTTGGGATGTGGGGGTGAGAGGTTGCTACATTCTTTTATTTAAACATATTCTTCATTCAGGGGAAATTGACTTTATATGCTTTTGCCTTGGTTAGACTATAAAAAGCACTATTTAAAGAGACTTTTTATATCAAATAATTCAACCTGCTTTCTATGATAAGCCTTTTTTCCCCAACATAGGAAAATATATTTGCCACGTATGCAAAATTTTAAACCTTAAAATGTTTGGAACTCTAAAAACTCAAGGCAAATTCTGAATTGTTCCCAATACTGCTTTTGGTTTTTTGGAGGTTTTTTTGTTCTCCCTACTTTTTTGTACAAGAGGTAAATGGAGATCTTTATTTGCAGCAGACCTGAGAAAGCACTGGAGCAAGAGCCAGGAAAGAAGGATTCAAGTCCAGTTCCCTTTCTTAACCACTCTGTGACCATAGGCATGTCTTGTCATAGCCTTTCTAAGCTCATTTTCATCTGTTGTATCATGGGGTTGCTGCAAAGGTCAAATAAGATAATATTCCATTTGAAATCTATTTGGTAAACCTGAGGCACTTCAATACTATAAACTTCCACTATCTTCTCTACACCATTACTAGTTCTAAATATGTTTATTTAAAGACATAACAATACACATTCCACTGTCAGTACTCTGAATTTCTACTTAAGTTATGTATAGTGATTTTCAGAGGGATCCCTTAGAGGAATTAAATTTCTCCAAGATGAGTACATATTATTTTCATTAAAGCTGGAATAGATTAGCTTATTTAAGGTTATAAATAGTTTGCAGTTTCCTCCCATCCTCAATTCTAAATCACCTTCCACATTCAGCTCATCCTTTCAACACACCGTTTCCTAGTCCAGGTGACCCATTCTTTGGGGTTTACATAGTGGATAGGTGGAAATATGTTATTTGTTTCTAACATGATGAGGAAGTCTGTGCTAGCACCTATAGCCTCCTTTTCTTCAATAAAAACTTCATATGCTAATGAAATTAGAACTGAAGTCCCATAGTAATTCCTATGTCCTAAAAAAATAAAATAATAATAATAAGAGGGATATAAACCAGATGAAGACATGGAAATTGTTGATTAAATGGAGTAGAAAAAAATGTACATATATTGTCACTCCCTGCTAAAATTCCAGTATGATAGAAAAAAATAATGATAATATAAATTCAGAATGACAAAGAAAACATGAATTAAGAAGATACAAAACAGCAAAAAATGTTTAGAAGATGAAAAACTGTTGGAAGGACAGGCAAAGATTAGAAGTAAGATCAGAACTTCAGAGAGGGGTACTACAGATAAAGAAGCCAGTTCACACCACAAAAACCAGAGAAGTTTCAAGAACTAGAGGCACCAGGTTGTTTGGAAGGCAAAGTGAAGGTAGAGGCTGAAATCAGGAGGATTGGTTGAAAGCCTATCAGATAAACAGATGCAAGATCCTTCCTCATGCCTGCACAGCCAGGTGCCTCCCCTTTTCACCCTAAACAGGAAAGAGAAGGATATTCCCTGGCCCTCAACTCGAGCTAGGCACTGCAGAGGGTGGGATGCAGTGCCATTCAGAAACCTGGGGACTATGTGCGAGTCAGCGTGTGCACTGGGAGACTCTAGTCCCTTCACCCGTTGGTCTCACAGAATGCTAGCAACCAGACCTTTACCTCCTTCCCCAGGGGAGAAGATATGAAAGTCTCCAGAAAAAAAACCTCCCCCAGAGAAAAGATCAGACAATCACATCTGGGGTCCCCCAACAAATCCATTATATTCCTGCCTCAGGGCCCCCATGGAAGCATTCCGAGGTGACAAGCCCTACCCATGAATCTTCTAGTTGGCTTTTTGTCGACTCACTGCTAAATATCACTGGACAACTGAAGACACTAGACATTTTGGGAAATCTTTCAACATGAAAAACAAAGGGCAAAACAAACATGCCAGAAAAGGAAGGATAGTATGAAGACAGAAAATGCAGAAAGCAGAGGAAATTTTCTAAAGATTTGATTATCGTCTTCAAAAAGATGAGTATATATCACCCTAACTGAATAAGAAGAGGATAATATTTAAAAAGGGGGACCATTGGGAAATAAATAACAAGTGTGTAAGAAAAGGGGTTTAAAAAGTCAGTAGAAGAGATGAAAGATAAAATTGAGTAAGTTTCCCAGGATTGTATAAATAAGCTAGAAAACAAGTAAATGGTGCATAAACCAGAGAATCAACCCACGAATTCTAACATATTAAATTCTGTAATATGAATTACAGAAAGAAAAGGTGATAAAAATAAATAGACAAAAATTGTCAAAGAATTAACACATAAAAATCTCCAAGAACTGAAATACATCAGTGTCCAAATTCAAAGGGCTTCATGAGTGCCTACAGGAAATTTAAAAGGATCCAAACTAAGGCAGAAATTGTAGTATTTCAGAACTACAGAGATAAATGTTAAAACTTAAAAGCTTGGAGGAAGAAAAAAAAAGCAATTATCATTTTTTAAAATTGGAAAAAATTGACACTGGAGTTATTAGGAGCAACACTGAAAGCTAGAAGGAAATGAAACATGCTTTAAAATTCTGAGAAAAAAAATTTCCTATCTAAACTCTATTATCTTGCAAAACTTCATATCAAATGAAGGATACAATACAGATACTTTCTGATATGCAATCTCAAAAGCTGTCTCCTAGATACTGTTTCTCAAAAAGTGTCTGAAGCTTATGCACCATGAAAATGAGTGAGAACACCAAAAAGAAAAACCTGTGGGACCCATGAAGCAAGAACTCAAACACAAGAAAAGAGCAAAGGGGATTCCTTTTAGCCAAGGTGGTGCTGGTGGTGATGAGATCCCAAAGGAAAATCAGTTCAGCTACCAGGACTTCAGTCAAACCAAGCCGGAGATGGATACCCCGGGAGGGGCATCTCAAAGGCGGGCATGGGACTCAGGGGGCCCCCTTATGGGTTTGTTTTGTTACCATAGTAAAAGGAGTTTTAAATGTTTTGGGGAAATTTGGGAAGAATAAGTGATGGGTACATGGAAAAGTACATTTAAAAAGGAGACAATTTCTAGGTCCACACAAAAACAAAATATTGTTCAAGAAAGGAAATTCAAGTATGATTCATCACAGAAAATGACTACTTCGCATAGCTGTGAAGAATATTTGCATTGTCATGAAAATTAAATAATGATTTGAATAAGAATTGTGAGAATTATTTTAGGAGGAGAGAGGAGGGAAGGAAGGAGGAGGAGAGTTTGTGCATGTGTGTGTGCATTAAGTGATAGCTGTTACCGTATGAAACCAGTAGAAGTTGTTTGACATTTTTAAAAATATCCATTTAAGCATTTATTTGGAAATAGTGAGATAACTCGCAAAAGAAACTTCTCTATAAACTTCAGTGTTATTAAAAGCTCTATGGATGCATTTATGTATAAAACTATGCAAAAAAATAATTTAAAGGAGTCATCTACTCTTTCTGGGGGATCCAGAGAATCTGTATTAAAGACCAACAACCATATCCCCAATCCTGGTCAGAGTTCAGACTAGTAGGCTTAAGGGTCCTCTGCAAGGAAACACAGACAGCCACTGTTTTTAAGAGAGTTCATCTAGAGGCCAGTTTACTTAGCCTCCTGAGCCCTACTTTCTCATCTCTAAACTGGAGAAGTTTGTTTGGAACTAACTAAACTCAAAGGTAAGTCAAATAACAGATAAGACAGGCCAGGTCCAATTGCCAGTGCCCCTTACAGAGGATGGTCTCCTCAGACACAGCCAACTGTTGCCAGGAAGGCCTGGTGTGACCAAGAGGCCCAACGGCTCAAGAGAAACTGCATCTGGATTTTTACATGAAATCTCTGAATTTTAAAATACTAATTGAAAATGGACAGTGCCTACCAAGCCCAGTCCACCTCCAGGCGGCCACCAGCTCAGATCGCCAGTGCGAGAGCCCTAAACCACACGACATGATGACCCCTGCAGGGAAGTGCAATGTCTTGGTCCTAAAAATCTGCATCCAATGTATGGGTTTTTCCATCCATCACCAAAGAGAATACTTACAAATATTAAGACCCAAGATCTGCATAGAGTCTTTATTCAAGGAAACACAATCATAAACAGAGATAGGTTCTGCCAAATACAGCTGGGCTCAAAAATCAAGGAGTCATTCTCACAGAGACACAACTGGGTAAAAACTGTGATTAATCTGTCTTCAGACATACTAGTCCATAAAGAAAACAATCACCTTTAAATGCAAAAGATAGTATCAAGCTCAATATTTACTAGGAAGATTATCTTTTAATCTTTCACAAACTTTTATCCTCCACTGCTAATTATCTTCTTGGTTCACAGGTATGAAGACTGTGCTTTTTCTCCTATCCATTGTGGGAACCACAGCTGCAGTCCCGGTAACTATCCCTTCTTCTATTGTTACACCTTTCCCTCCTGACATTTAGTTTAGGAATCCTCCATTTAAAAGAATATGGTTTTAAATAGCGGTTTGAAATTCTTTTTCATTTTAATCAGATTATTTTTTCCCAATCAGAGAATGAATGACTAGAAAAATTGAAATAAGATACTTAAAATACATACATCTTTCCGTATAAAGAATAAAACCATTATTCTACAGGATACAATAAATATACAGCTGAGATGTTGATTATCAGTTTATTCTCCAGGAAAGGTGTCCAAACATTAAAAACAATGGGAAGAGAGGTTCTGCTACGGAAGCTCATCACATCACATTAGTATGCGATATCTAAGAAATTAGTATGTGAAATGGTAGGGTGCATGCCCACAATCCCCAGCAGCATTTGCTTCAAAATAAAATACATAGTGGCTGAGAAATAAATAAATAAATAAATAAATAAATAAATAAATAAATAAATAAATAAATAAATAAATAAATAAATAAATAAATAGAGGCTGTAATAAAAAGAGGAATCAATATTGTGGGGGCAGGAAATAGTATGGTGAGCAAAAATCAGCTCCTAACTCATCCCTGGGGATCTGTCCAGGCAAACATGCTGAAAGCAGACAGGACTGGAACATGGTTTTCTTCCTGGTGAAGTATACTGGCCTCACCATTCACACAGCAATAAATCAGCCACACACAAATCAAATCATTCAAGACCATGTCAGCAGCCTCAAAATATCCTGACAGTTTGTGTTTTTTTTTTCTAATGGAACCACGGCTTGGATGATCACTTGAATGTCTCCCAAATGATTCAAATCATCCTTAATCAAACTGAAGGATTTGTACCATTGTTTTCTTTTTCACCAAATGGAGGAATCAGCCTCTTTTAAACAGATAAAGCAATTTCTCTTGTCACTTCTCTCCTTCCCTCTCCACTACATCTAATATTCTGTCCTTGCTTTTTGGATCGCTGATGGCTAGCTTCTGGTTGACAGCAAAGACAAGCGCCATGCCTCCCAGACCAAGCAGTTCTTAGAAAACAGAATTTATGGCCATTGCTAAGAATCCTGATTAAGTAGTGTGGAGTCACTCTAGCCAAAATCATACATTGTCCTCTGAAATTATGAAAGTGGATAAATGATGTGCAGCACAGAAAGGAGCTCCCACCAGAACCATTGTTCCCTCCTATCTGTATTTTGCCCTTGAAGCTGTTGCCACTATGTAAACAGGCCTCAAAAGTGCCTTTGAACTGAATGTTTGAGTGACACATTTGCATATAAATACATTCCAGATGTTTCCTTTCTATGACAATTTGTTATCATACACACCCAAATGCTAGAAAGCTAAATATTTTCTCATAGGATTTACCTATTAAAAATCTTGTATCATTTTCTCTCCCTGACTGGATTCTCCAGATACAAGTGGATTCTGTGTGGTTAGGAGATCCCACACAGATTTCCAGAGGGTATGTTATTATAAATATAGATGTGGGCATATTGATAAAACAATTTCATTTTCAGAAAATTTCTGAGAAAAGATAAGCTGCTGTGGTTTTTGTGCATTTCTTCCAGCTTGGGGAGGGAGAGTGGAGGAGGAGGGAAACAGAGAGGGGGAGCCATTCTCCATCAATCAGCTGAAATCTCCTCCATCTGTTACCTTCCACAATGCCTCTGCCAGCAGCCTGGCCAAACTGGCCACCATGCTTTCTACTTTTTTCCTCCTAAATATGGCCTCTTTGGAAAATTTTTAAAAATATATTACTACCTTTAGTTGAAAAGGTGATGAGAAGCAAAACAGCAAAGCACGTCTAATATAAATACTGTACTCCACGGCTTTCTCTGTGTTACCCAGTCAGCAATGCAGGACCTGCTAATGGGATAAAGATAAGTCAATCCACATAGAATCTGTTTTGTACTTACACCTGGATCCATCTGACAGCTGAATGTCCATATCTCTCTACTAGATATTACTACTAGCAGTAGTACTTTTTCATTCCAGTAACTTTAAAATGTATAAGACACTTTATATAGATATAACCTTATCTTGATAGTTCTGCTCACTTCACCTTGAGAGATGGCAGGGCAGGGATTAACAAATTGACATGAAGGGAGGCCTCTTATCTCTAAATCTAGTTGTTCAGTTTCCCCATCATGTCTCACTGCCCAACTCTTCATCTGTGCCTCCAATCTTGCTGGCAAATGAACAGAATCATCCTTCTAGTGGAAATAATACTCCACAGCTGTTCTTCTCTACTAGATTTGGTGTCTTGTTTCAGTTTTCAGATTAGTTCTAGATTAAACTATTTTTTGTTGTAAAATTTCTTGATGGATATAAAGTGTTAAGGTAATTGATAGTGTTAATAAAGTAAACAAATATTGAATAAAATGCCTATAACCTTTTCTGCTAATTATCAGTGATAATACAAAGATTAAATTTTTAAAATGCACAGTGCTATATCCTATGGTTAATTTAATTTGACTTCAATTTTCTGATAGCACTTTTCAAAAGAATAAAGTATGAGTGGTTCATAAATTTTGAAAAGCACAGAAAACAATTCCAAACTCCAAGGTCACTATAAGTGAAATAAATTTTGACCAGTTTTCACCCATCTCTACATATATAACTTTTTCTCAAACATGATTGGAATTCTGTTTCACTTTAAGATTAGTATCTGTATATTTGCTTCTATCCTTAAAAATTCTAGAGAATATCTTTTAATTGATGTTATGTCTGAAGCATATTGCTATTAATAATGATGACAACAGAAGAGTGATGAGAAATGTTGAACATTAACATCTGGACATGAATAACACAAACCAGTTCCTAATTTTTTAGACAAATGCAAGGTTCCTGTCTGATCATTCCAAACCAACTGCTGATTCCCTGAGTTCCATCCAGCAGGCTGAAGTGTTAGTAACATCAGACACCACTGCAGTCCCTGTTGTCAGGGCTGAAGATGCAGAAAAGGAAAAGGAAACAGTAGTATCTGTAGAAGACCATCCCAATCATAAGGTAAAACAACAGGACTATACTCATATAACTTCTAAAGTCGTCAAAGGTCTCAGTTTCAAAGTATGGACAAAGATATTACCTCATTCTCGTGTCACTTTAAAGACAATAAACATATCAACTGCCTTCAATCACTAGAATAGTGAGAATAAGTTTTACTGCTATGGCTAAGGTGCTATGTAATTGTTTCACTTTATGAAATTCAAGTTCAGATTAAAGTTATAGCTATAGAATGTGAAGAACACTCATAAATAAGTTTACCTGACATGATGTGAAGAAAAAGAATAATGAATATTGAATGTTAGCCTATGAATTATAAATATTATGTAGATATTGCATTATCATTTTTTTCAATAATAAACTTTTTTTTTTCCTTTGAAGGCTGAAAAATCTTCAATACTGAAGTCAAAGGAGGAAAATCATGACCAGTCAGCAGATCAGGACCAGAGTTACACCCAAGAGCAGGGATTACAGGATCAAGAAGAAAGTGAAAGTGACTTAAGTGAGAACTTGGCGTATACACCACCTGCAGGTACATCGGACCTAAGAGAAGATATGAGTGAGCCTCAAAAGAAAAAGCTTCCAGAGAACATTGATTTCCTTGCTCCTGATGTTAGTTCCACTATACATTCTACCCAACAAGAAAGCATCACAAAGACAGAGAAAAACCAAGAACAACCTATAAATGATTCACATCCTCAGTTGAGCCAGAGCAGCAAACATAGCCAAGACCTAAAGGATCAAGAAAACCAAGAGCTGGATGCAAATATTCCCAATGGAGAAGAGGAAGAGGAAAAAGAGCCAGGTGACATTGGTACCCACAGTGATAGCCAAGAAAAGGAGAGAGAATTTCCCAAGGAGCATTCTAACAGCAACCAGGAGGAAGATAGTACCAAATCTGATGATATTTTGGAAGAGTTCAATCAACCAACTCAAGTAAGCAAGATGCAGAAAGATGAATTTGAGCAGAGTAACCAAGAACAAGAAGAGGATAACTCCAATGCAGAAATGGAAGAGGAAACTGCATCAAAAATCAGTAAGCACAATCAAGATACTGAATGGCAGAACCAAAAGGGAAAACCTGACCTTGAAGTTATCAGGAACCACAAGGAGATGGTTAAAAAGGCCATTTCTGAGGCTTTGCTTGTGGAACCTACTGATGATGGTGACATCATGCCCGGTCATGACATGGCTGGTGATGATGGCGATGATGACCCCAGACACAATGCAAGTGATGCTGACTACTTCTCCACAGGGGAGGCCTTCAGAGAGGCTGAAAGAGCTCAGACCATTTCCTACCACCTCAAATATGAGGAGGAAAGAGAAAGAACACGTCAGAATGAGAATGCAGAAGCCACTGAACATGGAGACTACCAAGGGGTGAGGGTATTTACAATAATGCTTGTCTGATGAAGCAGTTAGCTTTACAGGAAAGAGCCAGGACCCTTCTCTGTGCTCACAGTCCCCTGTGCCTATCTCCATCAGCACATTACTAAAACATATTGAAATTATTTGTCTCTGCATCTCCATCATTAGGCTGAAAATGCCTGTTTTATTTGGGTTGCCCTAGAAGCAGACACTGGATTTGAGTGCAATTTATTTGAGAAGTTCAGGGAACAGAAAGGAATGGAGAAGTGATACTGAGAAGGAAAGGAAGCTCATCAGAGTACATCATTAAAGCCACATGAAGCACATTCCTCTGAATTACCCCATTTGAAGAGTGAGGGAGCTGGGGGACATTTGTACAGCTGAGAAATGCCAGGAGGGGTGTTCATTCTTCAGCACTTCCAGTCTGCCCTTTGAGCAGGCCAAATAAATTTCCATGGTTTTCAAGCACAGAGATACAGGTACTGGCACCTGGGAGTCCCTAGAGCCAACAGGAATGGTAAATTCTGACAGATACAGGGGATGTGAGGCAGTGGCAACTGGACTCTAATGCCTTGAGAGCAGGTACCAGGTTGTATTCAAGTTGAGTCACCAGTGTCTAGCAAAATGCCTCTAACATAGTAAGAGATACAGCAAGATTTGTTGATACAGTTATAATGATTAATGATTAACGACAAAGACTTCAGCCACAATGTTATAAAGTGAACACACACCAAAATGGTCATCAGGAAACTTTAATGGGGGGAGGGGGGAGCATATTGTCAATCATTTGGAGCTTTTATGGTAAAACCCTGGCAGCTACCCGCCAAAAGGACTAGACACAGATTTGGTGGACAATGTCAATAGTAACTTCAATTACTAGGAGCTCTGCTGCTAGTTTTCTTACACTTTTCAAACCTGGTAAGAAACCTTTACCAACAGCTTCATAGAGATTACTGATGTAACCTTGTCTTAACTACAGAATTGCATGATTATACTACATTTCTACTGTTCTCTCTAATCCAATGGGAAGGTTCCAGCTTTGTTCCTGATGTTAGTTCCAATTTTTATTGAGTAATACCTGGAGTATATACAACACTGAGTCCTGTTGATCAAGGTAGAATTGGCTCCTTTTCTCAAAGGGTTGCTGTCTATTTCCACAGTTTTGGCTGTTGAGATCTTTTTGAGATCTGAAATGATCTGGGTAGGAAAACTCTATGAAGGTATGCACAGTGTGATATAAATTATGTAACAGCTTTCCCCTAAATAAACTTCATCTTCTCCTCTTGTTATTATAAAGGCCAAGAAAGCAGAGAGCTCACTGAATGAAGATGAAAGTTCAAGTGAAGGCAACATGAAGGTACACAGCACTGGTGAGCATGGACAAGGCAAGCTGTTTACACCTTTATCAAGGAAAACATGGAATCGGCCCCATCGGGTTATCCTCATCCCTTCGTGGCTCACTTCATAGCATCTTTTCCCTGCCCAGTGCTCCCCCAGGGACATGCTCCCATGAAGTGTTGGCATTTTCTTGTAACATGTGATATTCAACTATGGGTAAACGTGTTTACACACTGGAAGTCCTGTTGCAATGCTACTGCAAGAGCTAGAATTCCTTTTCTCTAAATCCTTTTGCTTCTGAGAAGAATTAATACTACCTTATAAATTCTCAAATTCATAACTTACTAGTAAATTTAGATCCCATCTTTAATTAAGACCTAATTCCCAATCATAAACATTTTGAATTTCAACACAATGAAGTTCTCACAGCTTACTTAACTTTGGACTAACATGTAAAACATTGGACTATTGACTTCAGACTACGACCATTACAGTCAGACCAAGAAGAGTTCTTTGTTCTTTTGAAATCCCCAGTCTAAACTGCACACAAAGTCTATTGTGTAAAATAGTCTGATGCCAGAAGGTCCCACCTGAAAATTTAACACATTCATTAAAATTATTTCCAATATTTTCCCAAATTTTCTCTTATTAATGAAAATGGAGCTAGCCATCTGGATGAATTTGAGTTTACATACTCAGTTTAGCTTTGCTTGTGTTTCCTTTCCAAACTTTTCTATTAGATTCTTGCCTGCACTTCCAGTGTAAAAGAGGACACATGTGTAAGGCTGACCAACAGGGAAAACCCCACTGTGTTTGCCAAGATCCAGTGACCTGTCCTCCTACAAAGCTCCTTGACCAAGTAAGTATCTGACAAAATGGTCTCTAAGGAGACCCAGATAATTAGTGATTTGAGTGAAAGTAGTTTGCAATTGAAAATTTTTGTTAATAAAGAAAAGATAAATGCCCAATTACCATCTAATATATGAAGAATATTGAATAGAAACAAATGTCAGCAAAATCAAAGAATTTTAACTGTGCCCTAAAGAGGTAATAATGACATTGATCTGTAGAACTCATATTATAATTCATTGTACCCTTACATCTACAGTTTTCATTCTACTCAGCTTACCTAGAACTAAATTGTCATGGCCATTGGTATAATTTAGTTGATTTTTTTTTTGAGAGGGCATCTCTCATATTTATTGATCAAATGGTTGTTAACAACAATAAAAATCTGTATTGGGGACTCAATGCTCAATGTACAATCATTAATCCACCCCAAGCCTAATTCTCATCAGTCTCCAATCTTCTGAAGCATAACGAACAAGTTCTTACATGGTGAACAAGTTCTTACATAGTGAGAAAGTTCTTACATGGTGAACAGTGCAAGGGCAGTCACCACAGAAACTTTCGGTTTTGATCACGCATCATGAACTATAAACAATCAGGTCAATTATGATTATTCGTTTGATTTTTATACTTGATTTATATGTGAATCCCACATTTCTCCCTTATTATTATTATTATTATTATTTTTTAATAAGATGCTGAAGTGGTAGGTAGATGCAAGATAAAGGTAGAAAACATAGTTTAGTGCTGTAAGAGAGCAAATTTAGATGATCAGGTGTGTGCCTGTAGACTAAGTGTTAATCCAAGCTAGA